AATCAGGAGGACAGTAGATAGCGATTGACATTGCACTTACATTTTTCCACATTAAAGTACGCTGGAAAGCATGAAGCCAGGAAAACTACATCCGCGTCCTGGGTAAGACGATAAACTACGTCCGCGTCCTGGGTATGACGATAAACTACATCCGCGTCCTGGGTAAGACGAAAAACTACATCCGCGTCCTGGGTAAGATGAAAAACTATTCCGCGTCCTGAGTAAGACGAAAAACTATTCCGCGTCCTGAGTAAGACGAAAAAATATTCCTCGTCCTGGGTAAGACGATAAACGACATCCGCGTCTTGGCTAAGATGAAAAACTACACCCGACAGCAAGGCCTTCGATCAGAAGATTTTGTGGAGCGTGGAACCAGCTCTTATTTGCTAGTTTTCCCAGATCCACCTTGACCCGGGGTGGTAGCACCTGTTAGGGTCCCAGCTATAGGCAAATAGTTAAACACCAAACTGGGGTCAAAACGTGTAAAAATAGGTTTTAATACCAGCAATACATTTTTGTAAAAGCTTATTACCAGCAAAGAATTTTTAATTTTTTACAAGCAATAAAAATATTGAGGTTGATATGCCGTAAAACAAAACAAACCAACCAAACCAAACTGAGCAGGAAAGGCAAATAGAAGCTTTCTCATGCAAACTTCTTTTTGCCTTTGCTCAAGTAAACTTCGATTTGCCTTTGCTTGAGCAAACTTCTATTTGACTTTTCTCAAGCAAACTTATATTTGCTTTTGCTCAGGTATTTGCCTTTGTAAAGTTTCGTAGACGAGCAGTTAAAGCGGGTCGTTTTAAACGGCGGTGGAATTCCATATCTGGATATCACAGTTTCTGTTTATTCCCTTCAGTAAACTCCAAATTTTTGGCTCATCTCTGCCGTGGCCAGGTATTGAACTCACAACTAGAAGAATCAGTAGTAGACTAAATAAAAGGTTTGGTTCGAAATGCCAACGTGTATCAGGTGAAGAAGGCCGGAGCGTACAACGGCAGAAACGTTGTGAATATGAGAACAACTTCACGTGGTTACCACCTGAAGAAAGGCCGGGGCGTACAACGGTCGAAACGCTATAATAAATATGGCGACAAAGATAAGGACAATAGTCCGAATAATGTAAATAGTGTACATAATACCTCATCTCAGAAATATAGACATAATGTAGATATTAGTTTGGAATTAAGACTTCAAGGTTTTTCATTTTTAAAAATTCATTTTAATCCTTAGGTATTGCTTTTTCCTTTTTTTTTGTGGTACCTATTTTTATTTGACTATATTTTTTATTTTTATTTTCGCTTTATATTTTGCTAAAGATATTGTTTGCAATAATCTGCATTGTGATGGCGTGTTTTATTATGCAAACAAAATGCAACAGCAGCTTTTATTTATAAATATATACAAAAGATATATAGGCCACAGACCCATATTTGATCCACACAATAGATAAGGGAATAAATTATTTGACACGAGCACTTTGACATTACTCGTTCATTGATTTTATTACCTATTCACCGCTTTCGGGATCTATTTTTATTTTTTATTATTTCTTGAATATTGTATTTAATGATTCTTTTAATGGTGTAAATTTAGTATAGAATATAAGAAAGTTGAACAGAGGATAGGTGACACCAGGGGTACATTTGCACGGTACAACTAGATTCTTCTTCTTGTTCTTCTATGTACCGCGTCGTTTCAGGTCTTACGCGATCATGGCTCTCCACATCGTTCTGTCATTTGTAACTTTTATGTGCCGGGTCCCTTCAGGTCTTAAACGATCATGGCTCTCCACAACTTTCCGTCCTTTGTAACTTTTATTTGCCGTGTTCCTCAGGTCTTAGCGATCATATCTCTCCACGACTTTCTGTCCTTTGTAATTTTGATGTGCACTGTCCCTCAGGCCTAAGGCGATCATATCTCTCCACAACTTTCTGTCCTTTGTAATTTTTAGTTGCTGTGTTCCTCAGGTCTTAGGCGATCATATCTCTCCACAACTTTCTCTCCTTTATCACATTTATGTACCGTGTCCCTTCAGGACATAGGTGATCATGGCTCTCCACAGCTTTTTGTCCTTTGTAAGCTTTATGTGCCATGGACCTTCAGGTGTTAGGTGATCATGCCTATTCAAAATTTTCTGTCCTTTGTAAGTTTTATGTGCCATGTCACTTAAGGTCTTGGGCGATCATGGCTCTCCACAACTTTCTGTCCTATGTCACTCTTCTTTTATGTTCCGTGTCCCTTGCGGTCGTCGGCGATCATGGCTCTCCACAACTTTCTGTTTTTGTAACTCTTAGTAACGTTTGTTATTTTCCTCTTTTTCAAAATTTCTGTTCTACCAACCCTTTACACTACCTGGTTAGGTTGGTTATTCGTCCCTTTAACCCGTGCTTCCATACCATCAGGCATGCCCTGTGCGTATCAGATTCTCCATGTACTCTTTCCTCATTATGTGCCCTAAAACTTTCAATTGTTTTCTTTCTTATTCTAAGTTGAAGTATCCTTTTTCCCGGTTTTCATTTGGCCGTTGTACGCTCCGGACTTCTTCAGGTTATTGGAATTTCGAATCGATCCCTTTATTTCGTCCACTGGGGTAGATTGTTCTAGTTCAACGTGCCATGCCTCCAATATCTGTTTATATCTCTGAGATGAGGTATTATAATTACATTATTGACATTATTCGGACTGTTATTCCTAGTTCAACGTGTCATGCCTTCAATATCTGTCTATATCTCTGAGATGAGGTATTATTTAGATTATTCGGACTGTTATCCATATCTACATTTCCATATTCACAACGTTTTGGCCTTTGTACGCTTCGACCGTCTTCAGGTGATGGGAATTTCGAACCGAACCCTCTATTTTGTCCACCAAGTTAGATTGTTTTAGTTCCACGTTCCCTTTAACTCACATCTCCAAATTTTGGTCCGCCACTGCTCTGGCCTGGTATTGAACTCACAACACTTTGGATCTAGTCACTGGATCTAACCTACGTCTTTATACACCGGGTCATGTGTCCTTGTAGAGTTGAATTAAAGGGAAATAACTGAGACATTCGAAAGAAGCATGGCACATAGAACTAGAACAATCTATCTCGATGAATGAAATAAAGGGTTCTGAAGAAAGCCAGTCGAAACGTTGTGAATATGGCAATAAAGATGAGGATAACAGTCCGAATAATGCAAATAATGCAAGTAATCATAATACATCATCTCGGGGATATAGACAGATATCTTCCGATTTCTCACCACTGTCGTATATTTCATTTATTATTTCTTAATACCGAAGTAATCTAAGGGTGCCAGTAACTCTGTCACAATTCCATCTGTTTAGCTTTTGTTCAAACTGTCCAGTCGTATTTTTCACATAGAGCAGTAATGTTTTTGGTTCTTCAATAATTTGGTGTATTGTAGGTTTTCCTCTTTCGTCATGGAAGAATTTTGCGATGTTCCTTCTTCGAATTACTTTTTATTTCTCTATTATCAGTGTTCCTTCTTTTGGTTTTATGTATCCTGTTGATGAACATTGGTTTTCTTCGGGTATTTCTCTTAATCTTTTATGTGATGCTCATTCTTTCTATTTCATCGCATATTTCGTTGAGTCATTCCTCTATTGCTTGCCTGAATTTGTTTCTAATTTCTTTGTGTATTGTATTATATTCTGTGTCATAATTTGGCATTGTTTGCTGTCTCCTTTTCTTTCTCTATTCTAGGTATCGCATTTAAAAGTTTATAATTAAATAATCGAATAATACATAAGTAAAGTGTATGCTGAATAACATTTCTTTTTGCTGACTTCTTCATGTCAAGAATTTCAGTCTGTCAACCACTCAGCTTTTTATTCGGACTGTTATTCCTAGTTCAACGTTTCGTGCTTTCAATATCTGTCTATATCTCTGAGATGAGGTATTATTTACATTATTTAGTTTCTCAGCTTTCACTCTTTTGGTTTTATGCAGCCTGTCGAGATGTACAACGTTTGTCCTGTTATTTTTCTTCTTTCTTAATCTGAGAACTCGAAGCATGTTCTTATATAGCCTCGTCAAAGCTAGATTCCCATAAGTATGTCATATGTAGCATCCAACACGTTTAGAAAATTATCACCGATATACAACCGTTTTCTCATATAAATGATGAAAATTGTCATAAAGAAGACGATGCTTCATCAAAATGTCGCTAAAAATGGCAAAGAACTTCACCAAACAATAAAATCAGCATCACATGAGGACAGTAAACAAAAAAAAAAACGGTTCGCTCATGTAACTAGAAGAGCAAATAATGATACACTATCAATATGTATGGTTAGACTTGTAACATGATTAGATCGGAGACAAGGTAAGAAAAATATGGCTTTTCTAAAACACTGGAACAAGAAATGCAATTCTTATGTACAGAATGCTATCAGAGGGGACAATGCTAGTACAGAAAAATCAACCAATTATTTAAAATGGCTTCAATTGAATGAACGCTTGAGATTTCAAAGAAGTCAATCCTTCATCAGATTCTATAGACTGGCGCTACAAAATAAAAAAAAACTTTAAAAAATAACAAAAACTACAACACTTGACAATTCCCAACAAAAACTACAACTCTTGACAATTCTCAACAAAAACAATAACTATCATAGTCAGTACATGTAGCTGGTAAAGAAAATAATGATATAATTAACATGTTGACTTACCACGCTACCTTAAATTAAAATTTGGAAGAAAATTGATTATTTTCTATGGCTTACCAACCCTTTCTAGGTTATTTAAAGCCAGAAAATATTTTAGATTATAAGACTTTTGAAGGGTAGGTAATAATTATTTAGTGATACAAATCTTACTATTCTGAGACATTATCCATAACACCACCCGTACTTCCAAGCTTACAAAACCTGGTCACCTATCTAAATACTGACAAGGATCGACGTCGCTTAACTTTGGTGATCGTACGGGAACCGCTGTTTCAACGTGATATGGCCGAAAACTATACCACAAACTCATCCAAACTTATAGGACCTGGTATTCCCAAGTAGTCACCCATCTAGGTACTGGCCAGACTTGACGTGGTTTAACTTCGGTGATCATAGGGGAACGACTGTTTTAACGTAATATAGCCGTAAACCATGCCACAAGCTCATCCAAATTTATAACAGCTGGTATTTCCAAGCAGTTACCCATCTAGACACTGACCAGGCTCGACGTTGTTTAACTTCCGCGATCGATATGGAACGACTGTTTCAACGTAATATAGCCTAAAACCATAAGCTCTTCCAAGTTTATGGCACTTGTTTCAACGTAATATAGCCGTAAACCATGCCACATCTCATTCAAGTTTTTATCACCTGGTATTCCCAAGCAGTCACCCATTTAGACACTGACTAGGGTCGACGTTGCTTAACTTCGGTAATCATAGCGGAACCACTGTTTCAACGTAATTTCGCCGTAAACCGCGTCACACGCTCATTCAAGTTTATAACACCTGGTATTCCAAAGATGTCAACCATTTAGACACTGACCAGGCTCGACGTTGCTTAACTTTGGTGATTGTAGGGGAACCACTATTTCAACGTAATATATTCGTAAACCAAGCCACAAGCTCATATGAGCTTATAGCATCTGGTATTTCCAAGCAGTTACCCATCTAGGTACTGACCAGGCTCGACGTTGCTTAACTTCCGTGATCGTTATGGGACCACGGTTTCAACTTAATATGGCCGTAAACCATGCCACAAGCCCATCCAAATTTATACTACCTAGTATTCCCAAGCAGTTACCCATCTAGGTACTAACCAGGCTCGACGTTGCTTAACTTCGGTGATCGTTATGGAACCACCGTTTCAACCTAATATGGCCGTAAACCATGTCACAAGCCCATCCAAATTTATACTACTTAGTATTCCCAAGCATTCACTCATTTAGATACTGACCAGGCTCAACGCTGCTTAACTTTGATGACCGTACGACGACCATGGCTCTCTACAACTTTCTGTCCTTTGTAATTCTCGACCGTACGTTTCAGCGTGATATGGCCGTAAGCCTTTGGAAGGAAAGTCGCAACAATGCTAGAAGTGTGATGAGAGTGGAATTTAATTTCACGAAAAGCTCTTTTAATAAAAAGGTTTTTATAAACTGTTTTAATAAGATTTTTTTTTACAAATTTCAAGCGACAGTGACGCTTACTGTCAAATGAGTGAATCCCGAATATTTTCCGTATTAATATCTAGAGGAGGAGCCGGCAATGTTGTTTCGGTGTCTTTGAAAATGTTTTTGGAAATATAATTTGCCTTTCAGAATGTGAAATAGCATTGTCGTCTTTGAATATACAATTCTAGCTTAAAGCTTCTAGGGTGTAACTCTACGTTTGAAGATATCCCCCGCCACGAAAACGGTTACCAATTGTAAAAGAATATAAGAAAACCAGCAGTAGAGCCCGGCGTTGCCCAGGAATGTAACAGTAAGAGATAGATCTAGTATCGACCATCATAAAGACTGAAAAATAAAATTGACAAAGATTATTGTTTAAGGTTGACGGACACGCAGGTCTTAATTAGTTTTTTTTTTTTTTTTTTACGAATTGTTCAAACTCAAACTCATACAAAAACATTGTTTTCAATCGTTATGAGTCTACCGATTGAATAGAATTTTATTATAAACAATTGTCTTGTAAATGGAATTTTTAAAGCATTCTGAATGTAAAAATAAAGAAAAAAGTGTGCAAGACAATAAGAAACGCTACCTGCCAAAAAATTGTTGAAATTGGTTAAAAAATGTAGGAAATCCGATCCCATATATAAACGAACACACATGCACACAAACAACCTGGGTTTTATAATAAGTATAACTCGATATGAGTTGTCCCCCTTTCATTCTGGCGATGACACTTAATCGTGTTTTCAAATTGATTTCGTGCAAAAATAATTGTTTTTCCAATTTTGGCACTGTCAGAACCACCACAAATTAATTTTACGTAGTCCTGTGAAGTTTTATTGAAATCGGTTGAAAAAATGTAGGGAAATCCGATCCAATATATAAACGTACACACACACACACACACACACACATCTGTGTTTTATAATAAGTAAGATTAAAACATTTATTAACGAGAGACAACAATAAAAGAATAGGAATTGAGGAAGTAGAAGAGGGCCATTGACAAAGCTTAGCATTTAAAAAGTATCGAGACTGGTGCTATAAAAAGAAAACTACAACATATATCAATTCGACATGTAATCTCCTACGAAGTAGTGCCTTTCTGCAGCCACACAGTATGGGATAGAGGAAAATGCTTTCAAAAAACTAAGCAAACTATTAAGAAACAGGACAATTTCGTTAGAAACGAAGAAAATAGTATTGTATTCCTACGTAACATCAGTCCTCCTATATAGCAATGAATGATAGGTAATCTTCTCATAAATGAAGATCGTCCTGGGTATAACGATAAACTACGTCCAGTAGTAAGGCCTCTGATCAGGAGGTTTGGAGGAGCGTGGAACGACCTCTTAATTGCTGGTGTTCTCAGATCCACCCTGACCCGGGGTGGTGGCACCTGTTGGGGTCGCAGCTAAGGGCAAATAGTTAACACCCAAACTAGGGACAAAACGTGTAAAAATAGGTTTTATTATCAGCCATATATTTTTGTAAAAATTATTACCAGCAATGAATTTTTGAAGAAAAAATTATTACCAGAAATACATTATTACCAGAAATTAATTTCTGAAGAAAAAAATTATTACCAGGAATACATTATTACCAGAAATGAATTTCTGAAGAAAAAAATTATTACCAGAAATACATTATTAGCAGCAATGAATTTCTGAAGAAAAAAATTATTACCAGAAATACATTATTACCAGAAATGAATTTCTGAAGAAAAAAATTATTACCAGAAATACATTTTTGAAGGAAAAAATATTACCAGTAATAAAAATCTTGTCGACATTAAATAACCCACAGAGGTTGATATACCGTAAAACAAACCAAACCAAACGAGACAAATGAAGAAAAGACTTGAGTCAACAGAAATGTAGTTCTACAGAAGGATACTGAGAATAGAATGGTCTGAACATTTTAGCAATGGCGAAGTTTTAGAGAAAGAAGCAGTTGAATGATGAGGAAAGAAGGATTGGAAAATTTGACATTCACGGGACGTATTGAAAGCAAGAGACAGAGGAAAATAGGGAATAACATACCTAACGAGCTTGACTAAATGGATGGCAGAATAGCATTTAGGAGAGATAGGAAAAGGACAAAATTAACTAAGAGCTATAAAACACAGGAAATTGTGGAGGGCCATGATCGTACAGCGTCTATAAGGAGCATGGTACACAGAAGAAGTGTTAATCGAACCCACTAATAGCCTCGTAATGATTTCTGCTTAATATTTCATCGCCGCAATTACAAAGATTAAAGAAAGTAATGAACCGCCACTTTTCTGCGAGACAGTAATCAACGTTTCATTAAAATCAACTTTTGATTGTTTTTAATTAACCTAAAGGGATTTTTCTGAGCTAATATCGCCACTTGTCTATCGATAACTTTTCTATGGTTGAACGACTAGCAAGGAATGGAATTTCTCTTTTTTCTTTTCTTTTCTTTTCTTTTTCTTTCTTTCTTTCTTTCTTTCTTTCTTTCTTTCTTTCTTTCTTTCTGTGTGCGTTCAAATTTTTTTTCTTTTTTCTTTGTTTCTTTCTTTCTTATTTTTCAACCTTTTCTTTTTTCATTCTTGCGCTTTTTTCTTTTCTTTCTCCTCTTTTTCTTTCCATGTGCGTTCACATTTTCTTCCTTCCTTTCTTTCTTTCATTCTTTCTTTTTTCTTTCTTTCTTTCTTTTGACCTCGCATAAACAAGTTAATCATAAGCAGGTGTTCAGTGGCGAGACACAGATTTATGAAAATTAAGTCAACCGTTAAACCACACACACACACACACACACACACACACACACACACACACACATACACATATATATATACATATATATATATATATATATATATATATAGTCTCCCCCTCATCCGCGTAGGATATATTTCAAGATCCCGGCACTTCGACGTGGTGTAATGGTTAGCAAGCTTGTTTCACTGGATCAATTACAACTAAGTAGTGAGATCGATCGTCAATGAGTGCTCCATATTTTCGTCCTTGTGCCACATATAAGCTAAGTTTAGTAAATCGCTATATTTAAAGAATCCTACAGATAACTGGAGACGCGGATATTATCAAGCCCTATATATATATATATATATATATATATATATATGTGAGTGTGTGTGTGTGTGTGTATGTTCTTTTTCCAATACTGACACACTTAAGGTTAATTTGTGAGGTAGACACCATCGGAAATATAATGACAATAACTAATCCTAAAAAGTAATCAAATAGAACAACTGTTATGTGACCAATTGAAGATCTTATTCGGTACAATTAGAGATTAACGACAATAATAACACCTAACTTACCATTAGATCACGGTCAGCTATCCCAGCAAAGCATTTCAGAAATATACAACTCTCTTGAGACCTTTTGAAGTCAGCTAACTTTAATTCCGTATCCAGAACGTGAACATTAATGGCAAGTCACCTTAAATATAAGTCTACCATTCGTTCATGCTTTGAATATTGCTGCCACATATGGTCCGGTTTTCCTTCTGTATATTTCGAAATCCACGATAAAACCCAAAGAGGAATTATTAGTCATGATCTGGCATCTCGGCTTCCGTCACTTTCCCATCGCCGTAAAGTTGCTTCCCTGTGCCTTCTCCATAAATACTTTCATGGTAATTGTTCGGGTGAACTCTTCGCTATGATACCTAGGCTTTATGAATTTAAGCGAAATTCTAGATATACGGCGGGGTTTCATCATTTCACAAGTGAATTGGCTAGATGTAACCGCAAGTTCTATGCTAACAGTTTCTTCTTTCGCACTTCTCCCTTGGGGAACTCTCTTCCGGCTTCATGCTTTCCAGCCAACTTTGATCTTTAAAAACTTAAATGCAATGTCCATCGTTATCTACTGTCTTTTTGATACTCTTCTATTGTTCTCGCTACGTAATAACGTTTCTCTATTTTTTTATTCTTTCACGCTCAGTAACCCCTTTTGTCTTATTGGCTTTACTGTCTTGTATGGGTTGAAATGATTAAAAAATTGTGTACGAGTAGTGTAGCTGTTCATTTCTAAAATATGAGATGTTGTACTCTGATACGTCGAAAACGACAAGATAGTGTGTATATATATATATATATATATATATATATATATATATATATATATATATATATATATATATATATATATATGTACAGTCTCAGTTACGGTGGACTTGAGAATGTGTGATGCCCAAGGTCCTAATGTACAGCCAGTTAGATCAGGGCTACAGGAATGTAGGACGCCCATGGCTAAGATACAAAGACAAGCTGAAAAGCAACTTGTCAGCAGTCAATATACCACATAATACCCTTGAGCGCTTAGCCTTGGAGCGGGTATAATGGAGATCAACGTATTTTAATGGACTCAGCAGTTTTCAATCTGCTTGTCTGAATCATCTTCAAGAAGCGAGAGCAAGATCAAAAAGGTCAGACAATCTAACAGTGATCTCATCCCACAATCCTCACTCTTGCTCCATATGTGGCCTCCTTTGTAAATCACTAGCGGGTCTTAAGTGCCACTTAAGATCAATCGGAAAAAAAATTCATAACTGAATCAATTAAGCTGTCAGATCCTCATACGTCGAAACAAACAGGGAGAGTCCATTATATATATATATATATATATATATATATATATATATATATATATATATATATATATATACATTGAAGTCAACATCCAGAAGAAAAATTCCCTATGTGCAAATACCCTTTGCGAAATATTATGGTAAATAATGGGCATAGATGGAATAATAATAATATATTTAGAAATTCATGATAAAATGCAAGGAAGAATCAGCAATATTATTGGTCCTGACCTGGCGTCTCGGCTTCAGTCACTTTCCCGTCGCCGTAATTTATCTGCCATGTGCCTTCTCCATAAATACCTGATTGTTATCAACTGTCTTTTTGATTACTCTTCTTTTGTTCTCACTACGTAATAATTTTTCTCTTTTTTCTTATTCTTTTACACACAGTAACATCTAAAGTCTTGGCAGCTTTACTCCCTTGTATGGGGGGAAATGATTAAAAATGCTTTCAAGCCGTGTGCGATGATAGCTTTTTCTTGTTTATTTATTTATCCATTCTAGTTATGTTTATTGTTTGATGTATTGGGAAGTCGCCTCTAGATTTTTTATGATTATCTTTCCTTCTAAAAAGATAAGGCATGGCATTCTTTTTTTAATAAAGTCCAATGCTCCTGTTGTATATTTAGAGATTCTTGATAAAACCCCAAGAAGAATCAGCAATATTATTGGCCCTGAACTGGCATCTCGGTTTCAGTCCCTTTCCCATCGACATAATGTAGCTTCCCTGTACCTTTTCTATTCATATTTGCATGGTAATTGTTCTGATGAGCTTACCTCTCTGGTACCTCGACTTTATGAATTTCAACGCAGTACTAGATTGGCGGCTAGGTCTCATCATTTTACAGTTGAAATGGCTAGATGTAATTGTAAGTTCTATGCTAACAGAACTTCTCGTAAACTTCTCGCTTGAGGAACTCTCTTCCAGCTTCTTGCTTCCCAGTCAACTTTCACCTTCAAAAATATAAATATAATATCAATCGTTATTTTCTGTCTTCTTAATTCTTGTTCTTTTATTCTCCTCTCTCTTTAATAATGTTTTTTTCTTTTTCTCATAATCTTTCACACTTAATAACCCCATGGGCCTTAATATTTTTATTGCCTGTCTTGAGGTGAAATGATTTTAACAAAAAGTATTACATAAGAGATAGGCTAAGATTATGTCGTAAATGCAAAGAAGAATCAGCAATATTATTGGTCCTAAACTGGCATCTCGGTTTCAGTCCCTTTCCCATCGACATGATGTAGCTTCCTTGTGTCTCTTCGCTATGGTACCTAGACTTTATGAATTTAAGCAAAGTTCTATTATGACGGCAGGGTTTCATCAATTCACAGTTGAATAGGCCAGATGCAATCCTATGCTAACGGTTTCTTTTCTCGCACTTCTCACATGTGGAATTGTCTTCCGGCTTCTTGATTTCAAGCCAACTGTTATCCTCGAAAACTTAAGTTTAATGTTAATTCTTATCTAGTCTCTTCTTGATTACACTTCTCTTGTTCTCGCTCCTTAATAAGGTTTCTACTTTGGCCTATTCTTTCACGCTCATTAACCCCCTTGTGTCTTAGTGGCTTTACAGCCTTGCAGAGGCAAAATATTGCTTCATGCGCAATCGTCCAGCCATATCGAGTCGAGTTTATTACAGTCCCTTATGTGCAAATCAACCTTGCAAAATATAAGAGTAAGTACCAAGTCAGACTGGGTCCTATGGACATAGGTGAAATAATAATAATAATAATAATAATATAGAAAAACTTTCTAAATAGAGCACACCAGAACTCATCTTCTCGACTAATCTTCCTAAAAGAACTTTATATATATATATATATATATATATATATATATGAAGAAAATATAGTTTTAAGGTGTGCTATATCTATGGGATAAAGTGCTCAATATCAGAGATAGAGCGTATGTAAATATAAGTATAAAAGTGAACATTGAAGTCAACACCCAGGGCGATAGGCTGTTTAATGCTGAACGCAATCGTAAGGGCGCCTGACGATTGCGTCCAGCATGAAACAGCCTGTCGCCTCTGAGTGTTGACTTCAATGTTCACTTATATATTTTTGAGGATGCCATTCGGATTACTAACACAAAAGAGAATGTCTCTTATCGAGAATATTTAACATCGAAAAACATAAAGGAAAAAAAATTAATTATTTTAATAATATGTGGAAATCTCCGCCCTTTGCCTGATGACGGTCGCGAGACCAGAAACACGTGTAGTAAAATTATGGAAAATAAAATATAATATTTAAAAAAAAACAACCAAAAACGTTTGCGGTATCTCTCTTCTTTAATATACACACTTTCCTCTCGTTGGAACTACTATAACCTCTTCCTTATATATATATATATATATATATATATATATATATATATATATGTGTGTGTGTGTGTGTGTGTGTGTGTGTGTGTGTATTGGTGTGTAAGGGGCCAATGAAGCATTAATAATAGCAATAAGTATAATAATTTAACGTATGTGAAAGCGAATAGAATTTCTGCCAAAACCAATCAATAGTAATAATCATTGTATTGAAATTCTGAAAGTTAATTACTCCTTACATAGTCATATTATTTTTTAGATCCAATATATATATATATATATATATATATATATATATATATATATATATATATATATATATATATATGGTTAGGTAAATGATATTAGCGACCATCTACGTGTGTGCTGGCGTGCATACGTTTATAAGCAAATAAATAATTACCAAATTTAGCCAAGAGGTGTAGATATAATAGCGCTCAATGGGATTAGACAGAGCCAAGAAATATATGTTAATAAATACACATATCCCTACCAGCTCATGCCCGATGACTTGGGTAACCACGAAACTCAAGTCGCACATCAAACGTAGATATATGAGTATTTATTAACACACACACACACACACACACACACACACACACACATATATATATATATATATGATTGCGTATTTCGGCAGAAATCCCTCTTTTATACAATTATTATTATTGATGACTGATAAGGTACTACGAGTATTTTTTTTTTTTTATCTAGATTTGCGATTATTAAATTCTTTTTTTATAATTTAGTTAAAATAAAAATACCATCAACCTCGTTCAGGTCTATCCCGAGTCTTATATTTATTTAGTTATTGCTCGCCGGTTTATACTGAGTGCATGTACACGCTGCCTGGCCTAGGGATTGAACTCACAATTACCATGTCACAAAATTATATATATATATATATATATATATATATATATATATATATATATATATATAAAATATATATATATATATATATATATATTTAAATAAATATGTATATATATATTACATCGCTATTTATTTAAATAAATAATTATATTTAGGCTCTACTTTTTAAATAAATCGATTACACTGTTTTTTAAAAAATAATGATATAATAACAAAAAAAATAATAAAAAACTTTGGAACTTATTTTTACCTAACGATTTCTGTCCTATTTTCTATATATTTTTTTTACTTACACAAACACACACACACATATCTTTTTCATAAGGTGTGCGTTTGCTAAGCACGACACATTTCCAGTTTTCATTACATTACACACACACATTCACCCATACTAGCACACACACACATTCTCGCGCGCATACACTCACACACGGACACACACACACACACACGCAGACACACACACACACCAAAGTTGTGTTTGACAAACGCCCAAAATACGACCGTTTACCGCTTTACACATCAGTTAGGTGTACTTTTTATTTCTAACAGGTCGTTTTAAAAAATCCCGCCTCTGAATTACATTACTATTTTTGGGTCATGTTTTGAAAGCGGGTGGTATACGGGTGAATAGACTACGACTACGAGTGGACCAGCCTTTCAGAGCATTTGTGTGCGTGTGGTGCAGTGAAATGGGGCCGTTAACTTTTTCATTTTTTTAGGGAGGAGGGGGGGCAACTACCTTTCCTAGAAGGTCGAGGAAAAGTATATATATATGTCAGGAGAACACAGAAGCCAACCCCTAGTTTTTCTTTCTTTCTTTCTTTCTTTCTTTCTTTCTTTCTTTCTTTCTTTCTTTCTTTCTTTAATCCACGCCTTTTCTGTCTTTTTTTTTCTTTCTTTCTTTATGCTCCGAGTGAGTTGTTTTGTGAAGCTTTTTTTGTCGCCTGTCGGGCAGGTGTGTTTTGGGTTATTTTCTTCTTGTTCTTGTTGAGGGCTGAGACAACAAAAGACGAGTCCCGTTCCCCCTGAAATGAGACAAGAGCAGGTGCACAACGAGCGAACAGGTGGACTGTGTGGAGTTGAGGGTGAGGATGGATCGTGTGTCGTCATTCAGCATTTTGTATGTAGAAGTACGTATGAACAGACACACTCACTCGTGTGAGTGTGTAAACGGGTGGCCATGGAGCTAGCGAGGGCGACTGAACCACGTGACAAGGTTATTTTACCTGCGTATATACATAGTCGAAAAGTTACGGCTAGAATTTGGTTAAAAATATTTATAATCCGGGCCTTTGAAATATACGATTCTCTTTCTCTCTCACACACACATATACACACACATATTTATATATATATTGATAAAAAATTTTGTTAGAAAGATTCTGTACAAAAACTTATTCTATACACTAAAAAATGATGATTGGATAAAAAGGCACCTAATATTTAATATAATGATATTTATTTATAATATATGTTTTTTTTACAGAGAAGAATTAAAACTTTGTTATTTACAATTGGATTTTCAGTGGTTTTTTCTTAAAAAATAATTTGTTGTTTTCCTTTTTTTAAAACTATTTTACTTTAAGCAGTTTCACTTCGCTTTTAAATTTTGTTTAATTGTTTCGCTCTCCACGTGTTGATGCTTTTTTTTTAAAAAAAAACCTTCATCTCTCTCTCTCTCTCTTTCTATATATATATATATATATATATATATATATATATATATATATATATATATATATATATATATGTGTGTGTGTGTGTGCAAATATACAGAAAAATAGGAAAGAACACGTTAGGTAAATAATCCGAAGTTCTTTAGTATTTTGTTTTTATTTTTAAAAAAAACAGTGCCCACTACAAAAGGAGAGTCTAAATTATAATTATTTTTAAAAATATGATTCCTTCGCTACATAAGAGTTCTCATGTTTCAAAAACAGGAGCCAAAAACTTCAATATAATTATTAAAAGTAAATTGAATTAAAGTATCAAGCTCTGTTTCATCCTCAAGCGAAATTTTTGGAATCAAAATACATATATATATATATATATATATATATATATATATATATATATATATATATATATATATATATATATATATATAGAGATATATCGAGAGAGAGAGAGAGAGAGAGAGAGAGAGAGAGAGAGAGAGAGATAACGAAAGGGACAAGAGACATCTTACTAGAATGAGAGATGGCAGATTACCTAAATAGTTGTTTTACAGTGAGATAGTATGTAGAAAACTTTCGAAAATCAAACCTAAAACAATAATTTAAGAATGTTCTTGAAAACAATTATAACTATCTATGGCGTTCGAGTAAAAGACGGTCACTCGGGGAATCCTTAAACGGCCTTTTAGAAAGTAGGTCGTGTCCTCAGTCCTAGATAATATCCAGCCTGATCGTCATTCTAATACTTGTGGTAGTGCCTTCTTACACTACAAATAGGACTCCCGATGGAAAGGAATCCTAAGCAGACTGAACTGACAATTATTCGCAACGATCTACTGGAAATCTACCTCAATTTTGTGACAAAGTATGTGGATCAGCAGCAGGTCTGAAGAGTCTCAAGATAAATTCGAAGGACTTTCCCAAGTCTGTCGTCTGCTATCTACGCAGTAAAGCCAGTATCAATGAAGCGGGCATTTTGTCTCATTTATTGAAAAGATGACCTCCTTCTGTCAAGATGTTACAATCACTATATATATATATATATATATATATATATATATACCAAATTGTAATTGGTAGAGTTTATTCCAAAGAGGGCTTTTAGTCCATATCTTAGCTCAGTGGATGATACAGAACAAATTATAAGAATAATTAGGAAAAAAAAAACCTTAAAATCCATATTCTGTAATAAATTCATTTCGATAAATATAGCTATTTTCATATCATCAGACAATGCAGTCGGTCTGATTATATGAATATACATGTATTCTTCGAAATAAATTTATAACCAAATATACATTTTTAAGATTTTTTCCTAATTACACACACACACACACACACACACACATATATATATATATATATATTAGCCGTTTCCTTACAAGGAAAGTTTTGGTATCTATTGACGGAGCAGCCAGTGCATCTCGAGTTCTTCACTCACTGGCTATCGGGTTGGGATCAAAGTGTTGTATCAGTTTTCCTCATCTTTCATAGTAATGGTAATATTACTCTGTTTTCTGTTGAAAATTATAAAATCTTTCTCTGAAAACAATTTTTCAGGTAAGATATGATTCTCATGTCCAATAACTGTTATCGCGCTTCCCAATATTGATGAACGTTTCCATCCTAACTTTTTGTTTGAAGTCGTGTGGAACATCATAATTATCTTGATGATGTCGTTATTTTCTCTTCGAGATACATGAGCAATACATTTTGGTTGCCGCTGCTGTTGTAATTTCTCAAGTGGCTTGGTTTCTTTTATTTAGTGCATTTCTTTGTTTGTGATTCTGTAGCGCCAGTCCACGAGGTTCGATGAAGGATAGTCCTGGCTAAGACCATTTTTTTGGTTTTGTAGCAATTTGCAGTACTGGACGAAACTACCTTTAGCACAGCCTATTCTATGTTCATTTTTCTTCTCTCCTATACTAAATTATGGCGTCGACATTTTTGAATGAGTTGAAATCGATATAAAAGTCTAGATCTGATGAGCCTGTTTTAAAGTGACTCAAGTTTTCTAATTAATATTTTGAGTACATAGCCTCTTAGCTTGGTGGGTTGGTTGGTTGATTTTGTTTAGCGGCATATTAACCTATAATGGGTTATTTAATGCTGAAATTTAAATATTTTGAATACAATTTTAGTGGCATATCAACACCTCGATGGGTTATTTAATGCCAAAATATAGATATTTTGAGCACAATTTTATGGTTCAACTAAATATATTTCGAGTACAATTGTATGTCTTCAACAACATATGCATTGTTGGTAATTTTGATTTAAATATAATAGTTGATAATTTTACAATAAATAGGTATTGTTGGTAGGTTGATTTTGTTTAGTTGTATATCAACCTCTACGGGTTATTTAATGCTGAAATCTAAATATTTTAATTGGTTTGGTTTGGTTGTTTTTGCTTAACGGCATATCAATCTCTATGGGTTATTTAATGCCAAAATCTAAATATTTTGTTTGGTTGATTTTGTTTAGCGGCATATTAACCTCTATGGGTTATTTAATGACGAAATCTAAATATTTTAATTGGTTTGATTTAGTTATCAGCCTCTATGGGTTATTTCATAATTGTCTTTGATTTTTTTCTTTTAAAAAGAATCGTTTTGAATGTTCAGAAGAAAAAAATGCTTAGTACGTACCTTCCAGTGACTACAAGCGCAACTTTTGGTCAAACTTTACATACTGAGGCTACAGTAGACAGTTTCTGTTGATTCCTACAACAGACTTTATATTGAATTAAAAGCCAAATATGGAGCTGATCTCATTCAGGTGATTTATTTAGCTTCTTCTAAAAACATCAAAATTCCATCCTTTATCTGTCATTAAAGATTAAAAACACGAAGTAATTAATATGATCAGAGGAAGTGACATTATCATAATCTACGGTTCGTTGCTCTGGTTGTGTCTACAATTTTAAAGTATTTTAGTACATGTGTTGGTTGATTTTGCTTAGCGGCACATCGACCCCTCTATAAGTTATTGTTGTAGTGTCCTCCCTCTAAAGAGTCTATGTTGGACTCTTCCGCCTACTATAAGATTAGTAGGAGAGAATGCCTTGGGGGAACAGTCGAATAGATTGTTCATTTCTGTCGACCTCTCTGCCTCGGCAGAGAGGAACTCGGACGAAGCTTTGCCGCAGGGCAGGGTTTCGTCTGGGGAGGTAGACAGTCCCTGAATTCGTTTAGGCGGGTTCAAAAAGAATATTTTTGGCTGAGTCTACGGGCTCGGAGTACCCACAATAAACTGGCCTTGTGCCACATACACCCTATGGGGGGCTGTTAAATATTAACAGTCGACCATCTGTTCATTTCTGTCGAACTCTCTGCCTCGAGCGGAGAGGAACTCAGACGAAGGCAAAGTTTCGTCCGGGGAGGTAGATAGGCCCTGAACCCGTTTATACTCGTTCAAAGGGAATATTTTTGGCCGGCCCTACGGGCTCGGAGTACTCACGGTAAACTCGGCCTTGTGCCACATACATCTTTCGTTGGGGAGCTGTTAAATATTAACAGTCGACCATATTGTTCAACTGTCGAACTCTCTGCCTTGAGCAGAGAGGAACTCGGATGAGGCTTTGCCGAAGGGCAAAATTTCATCCGGGGAGGTAGAAAGACCCTGAACTCGTTTATACGGGTTCTAAGGGAAGATTTTTGGCCGAGCCTACGGGCTCGGAGAACCCACGGTAAACTCGGCCTTGTGCCACATACATCCCGCTTGTGGGGGGCTGTTAAATATTAACAGTCGAATAGATTGAACGCTGGGTCAACCGACACATACTCGCTTGTCGTGTAATACTCTTCTGTTATACTTACTGTTTAATATATAATATATCTGCAACATTTGTTTTGTTGTTTCTTTAATCATTTACTTGGTTACAACATTGATTTAATGACGAAATCTAAATATTTTTAACCCAATTTTATAGCTTCAACTAAATATAGTTTGAACGCAGGTGTATGCTGTCCACTAAATATATTTTGAACACAATTCTATGCTTTCAACTACATATAAAATTTATTGTTGGTAATTTTGCTTTAAATATATATTGTTTGTAATTTATTATATGTATTGTTTGTAATTTTATTATAAATTGGTTGGTTGATTTTGTTTAGCAGCATATCAACACCTCTATGGGTTATTTAATGCCGAAATCTAAATATTTTTAACACAAATTTATAGCTTCAACTACAGAAATTTTTGCACATAATTTTATATTTTCAGAGTGAAAGGTATGTTTTTTTAGATATATATTTTGTAGGTCATAAAATGTATTGTTGGTAATTTTACTATAAAAAATGTTTTTCTTTATTTTTTTTAGTGTTGCATTGATAGTCATTTTGCTATAAAATGTATTGTTGGTCATTTTATTATAAAAAAAATTCATTATTTGCCCATAGCTCGGACCCTAACAGGTACTACCACCCGGGTCAGAGTGAACCGGGGAACAACAGCAGTTAAAAGATGGTTCCACGCTCCTCAAAACCTCCAATCTCTAGATCAGCGGCTTTGATGCTGGATGTAGTTTATCGTCATACCCAGGACGAAGCGTGTTGGGGGAAAAAAAAAGTAACCGGATATCAACCAATCCTGTGCTTAACTTTGTTATTCCCTGTAATAAATTCATATTATTAACATAAATTAACATTAATTAATATGAATTCATATTATTAACATAAATTAACATAAATTAATATGAATTCATATTATTAACATAAATTAACATAAATTAATATGAATACATATTATTATCAGAGAGGATATGAAAATTAAAAAGAATGTGTTTTTCATTGTGAGTTTTCTCGGTAACATGTTAAAAAATTTTGGTGCCCAATGTTTTCAGTTATCTATATCTATATAATAAATGCCACTGTCAGTATGCTACGCTTTTTCAATTCAAGGGACACAACTCTCATTAGCTCATCTCCCTTTTCGTTGAACTTTAAAGAGGTAAGCTTAAATATTAATGCAATACTTAAATGCAGCCCTCAATTTTGAGTTCTTCTGTAGTTTATTGTTGCCTATCACATCTACTCTTCCCTACCTGTTGTGATGAAGGCCCAACCTAGAGCCCTCCGCAGGATTTAACTTAAATACCGCCTGATAGGGCGGCTTTTAAACTTGTATTTTGTATATATCAGAGAGAGAGAGAGAGGGAGAGAGAGAGAGAGAGAGAGAGAGAGTGATTAATGATAGAGAGAAAGCGAAAAAAGCAATAAAGAGACTTTGGGAGAGAGAGAGAGAGAGAGGAGGAGGAGAGAAAGAGAAAGAAAGTGAGACAAATAGTAAGAAGGGAGAGAGATAAAGTGAGATAAATGGAAAGCTAGAGAAAGAAGAAAAAAAGGAAGTGAGTGAATGAGAGAGAGTGAGAGAGAGAGGGGGAGAGGGAGAGGGAGAGAGAAAGAACGAGACTGTGAGAAAAAGAGCGTAACACAAAGAGAGAGATATTGACTTGCGATAGAGATACAAGGAGAGAGACAAGAAGATACACAGAGAGTGAGAGAAAGAGAAGAGGAGAGAAAATGGGAGAAAAGGAGAAAGAGAAATTGAAAAGAAGAAGAGAGAAGTTAAAGTTAGAAAGAGAGAGGAATAAAGAAAGTAAGAGAAAGAGAGAGAAAGAGAACATTGACGTGGAATAAAGAAAGAGTGACAGAGAGAGGGAGATAGAGAGAGAGAGAGAGAGAGAAAGAGAGAGAGAGAGAGACGGGGAGAGAGAGAGAAAGGAAAAAGATATAAAATACCGAGACAGGTTTTTTTAAGAGATGGGAGAAAAGTCGATGGGAAGAGAGAGCAAGAAAGAATAACAGTGATAAAGAAGTTGTAGAAAATGGTAGAGAGAGGAAGAACCAGAAAATGAGAAAAAAAGAAAGAAAGAAAGAAAGAAAGAAAGAGTGAGAGGGAGGGAGGGAATTTATGTTCGAATTGTAACCGTTGTTGTGCGTGTGTGTGCACCTCCTTCCAATCCCTTAGTGAGTGAGTCACCTGTCATCGTTATATCCACCCGATTACTACCTGGTGCCTACCCGACTCGTTTTACCCGTGCTCGACAAGCAGCCGGCACAAGCCAGTCTCAAGTTATGGCGAAACGACAATGACAAAAACAGCAGCAGCAACAGCAGCAGTCATTCACCCATCCACGCGTTGAATGCCCTCCTCGCCCAAAACGAAAAGTTTAAAGTTAAAACAACAAAAAAAAAGACGACGAGAAAGAAGAACAAAAGAAAAAGACAAGAGAAAAGAAAGAAAGAAAGAAAAGATAAGCGAAGTCCTTCTTTTTTTTCTGTTTCTTTTCCCGTCTGTTTCATGAAGAAAAGAAAGAAAAGAGAATAAAAAGAAAAAGCAAAGGAGAATGAACACTAAAGGAAGAAAGAACAAAGAAAGAAAGAATGTAATTAATAAAAGAGAAAGAAATAATGTAAAAAAGAGAAAGAAAAAAAAAAAACAGTGACAATCAGAATGAAAGAGAGAGAGAAAGAAAAAAAGGAATAAAAATAATATGAAAGAAAACATGTCGGAAACGAAAGAGAAAAAAGAAGAAAAGAAAGAAAGAAAGAAAAAAGAAAGAAAGGTAGAAAGAGATGAATGAAATTTAAGAAGAATAACATAAAGAGAGAAAAAGGAGAAGAAAATAGGATAAAGAAAATCTGCTGGATATTAAGAGAAATAAAGAAGAAAGAAAGAAAGAAAGAAATAAAGAAAGAAAGAAAGAAAGAAAGAAAGAAAGAAAGAAAGAAAAAGAAAGACAAGAAAGATGAAATTCAAAACGACAGGAAGATAGAAAGACAAAGAAAAACGGAAAGAAAATCTGAGAGAGACACGAGGGGCAAAAGTAAAGAAAGAAAAAATAAGAAAGAAAGAATGAAATTAATACTTAGAAGGACAGAGAAAAAGAAGAAAAAAGATAAAAGAAAATCTATCAGAAGGAAAAGGAGTGAGATGGAAGTGTGAGTGACCAGAAAAGAAAGACAAGGAAAATAGAAATTAAAAAGAGGGAAGAAAAAAAATCAGAAGAAATGTAGAGAAAGAAAGATAGAAAGACAGCAATTAATAGGAAAAAAATGACATAAATGATAGGTAAGAGAGAAAAAAAAAAAGAAGAAAAATGAAAAAAAGAAAAGAAAAGAAAGAGAAATGGGAGGAGTAAATAAAAGAAAGAAAAATAAAGATAAACATTTTTAGAAAAAGACGAACGATAAAATCAGAAAGAAAGAAAGAATAAAAGAAAGGACGAACTTATTTTTCTCTCCGCCCCCCAATTTGGCACGCGTGACCTCTGTTTGACGTAAACCTTTGACCTCAGGGCGAACTGCAGTAGTCCCATCCCAGTTGAAGCAAACTAGTTGCCCATCCAGTTCACCCACCCCCCGACTCTACCACCTTTCCACCCCCAACACTTATTCGCCCTCGTTGCTTTTCACAATCCTCTACGCTTCGATGGCCATACAATAGAAAAAAGATAGGGAGAAAGACAACGAGGCCGAAAAGTTGCGAGAGGTGGATAGAGGGGGATAAGGTTAAAAAAAAACAACAACAAAAAAAAAAGACACACAAACGAAATTAAATAAATATATAAGAAACTAGACCGCCGAAGACGCGAAGGACTCAATTTGTCAAAGGAAACAGAAGCAAAAGGGGTTAAGGGTGCGGGAAGAGACTGAAGAAAGGAATGAAAGGAGAGTAAGATGGAGAGGAAGGTGTAAAAGAGTCTAGAGAAAGAGGAGAGCAAAAAGTTTTCTTTTTTTATTTTACTGATGGTAAAATGTGTTGTTAATGTTAACTACACCTGTCTTACCTATGTGTTCACTAATCTATCTATCTATCTATCTATCTATCTATCTATCTATCTATCTATCTATCTATCTATCCTCATACACGTTTAGTTGATTTCCTTATCTTGCCTCTGTTCTTACTCTTCAGATTGTGAAAGAGAAAGGCTTTTGGCAAAAGTTCAGGAAAAGGTCATTTTTTTGAAAAAAAGATTTTTTAAGGGTCTCCGTTGTAGTTCGTTGTTATACAATATCTTTGCAGTGATTACATAAATACTCTTGTTAAATTTAAGATGTCAGCTTACCATTTTCCGGAATCTTTGTTCTCTAAATTTTTGCCTTCATTCCGACCTTTGGTATCACCATTCCCTTTCTTTTTCAGCATTTCTTTCTTTCTTTCTTTTATGTTTTTGTTTGTTTGTTTCTTTCTTTCTTTCTATTTCAACTTCTTTACATGCTTCTTTCTTTCTTTCTTTCTTTCTTTCTTTCTTTCTTTTGTTTGTTTCTTTTACGTTTTTCTTTCTTTTATTATATTTTTATTTATATATTTCGTTCTTTCTGTTATGTTTCTCTTTCATTCTTTTATATTTTTCTTTCTTTTTTCTTTCTTTCTTTCTGCTATATTTCTCCTTCAACCTATTATATTATTCTTTCTTTCTTTCTTTCTTTCTTTCTTTCTTTCTTTCTTTCTTTCTTTCTTTCCGTCTTTCTTTCTTTCTTTCTTTCTGCTATATTTCTCCTTCAACCTATTATATTATTCTTTCTTTCTTTCTTTCTTTCTTTCTTTCTTTCTTTCTTTCTTTCTTTCTTTCTTTCCGTCTTTCTTTCTTTCTTTCTTTCTTTCTATTTTCTCCTTTCAACCTATTATATTATTCTTTCTTTCTTTCTTTCTATCTTTCTTTCTTTCTTTTTTCTTTCTTTCCGTCTTTCTTTCTTTCTTTCTTTCTGCTATATTTTTCTCCTTCAACCTATTATATTATTCTTTCTTTCTTTCTTTCTTTCTTTCTTTCTTTCTTTCTTTCCGTCTTTCTTTCTTTCTTTCTTTCTGCTATATTTCTCCTTCAACCTATTATATTATTCATTCTTTCTTTCTTTCTTTCCGTCTTTCTTTCTTTCTTTCTTCTTCAACCTATTATATTATTCTTTCTTTCTTTCTTTCTTTCTTTCTTTCTTTTTTGTTTGTTTCTTTTACGTTTTTTTTCTTTTTTATTATATTTTTTTCTTTCTTATTTATATATTTCGTTCTTTCTGTTATATTTTCTCCTTCATTTCTTTTTTATTTTTTTCTTTCTTTTTTTTCTTTCTTTCTTTCTTTCTATATTTCTCCTTCAACCCTATTATATTATTTTCTTTCCTTTCTTTTCTTTCTTTCTTTCTTTCTTTCTTTTCTTTCTTTCTTTCCGTCTTTCTTTCTTTCTTTCTTTTTTTCTTTATTTCTCCTTCAACCTATTATATTATTCTTTCTTTTTTCTTTCTTTTCTTTCTTTCTTTCTTTCTTTTTTCTTTCTTTTCTTTCCGTCTTTCTTTTTTCTTTCTTTCTGCTATATTTCTCCTTCAACCTATTATATTCTTTCTTTCTTTCTTTCTTTCTTTTCTTTCTTTCTTTTTCTTTCTTTTTCCGTCTTTCTTTCTTTTCTTTCTTTTCTTTCTATTTTTCTCCTTCAACCTATTATATTATTCTTTCTTTCTTTCTTTCTTTCTCTTTCTTTCTTTCTTTCTTTCTTTCTTTCTTTCTTTCTTTCTTTCTTTCTTTCTGCTATATTTCTCCTTCAACCTATTATATTATTCTTTCTTTCTTTCTTTCTTTCTTTCTTTCTTTCTTTCTTTCTTTCTTTCCGTCTTTCTTTCTTTCTTTCTTTCTGCTATATTTCTCCTTCAACCTATTATATTATTCTTTCTTTCTTTCTTTCTTTCTTTCTTTCTTTCTTTCTTTCTTTCTTTCTTTCTTTCCGTCTTTCTTTCTTTCTTTCTTTCTGCTATATTTCTCCTTCAACCTATTATATTATTCTTTCTTTCTTTCTTTCTTCTTTCTTTCTTTCTTTCTTTCTTTCCGTCTTTCTTTCTTTCTTTCTTTCTGCTATATTTCTCCTTCAACCTATTATATTATTCTTTCTTTCTTTCTTTCTTTCTTTCTTTCTTTCTTTCTTTCTTTCTTTCCGTCTTTCTTTCTTTCTTTCTTTCTGCTATATTTCTCCTTCAACCTATTATATTATTCTTTCTTTCTTTCTTTTTCTTTCTTTCTTTTCTTTCTTTCTTTTCTTTCCGTCTTTCTTTCTTTTCTTTTCTTTCTGCTATATTTCTCCTTCAACCTATTATATTATTCTTTCTTTCTTTCTTTCTTTCTTTCTTTCCGTCTTTCTTTCTTTCTTTCTTTCTTTCCGTCTTTCTTTCTTTCTTTCTTTCTTTTCTTTCTTTCTCCTTCAACCTATTATATTATTCTTTCTTTTTTTTCTTTTCTTTCTTTCTTTCTTTCTTTCTTTTCCACCTAATTTAAAATTCTTTCTTTCTTTCTTTCTTTCTGCTTTATTTCTCCTTCAACCTATTATATTTATTCTTTCTTTCTTTCTTTCTTTCTTTCTTTTTCTTTCTTTTCTTTCTTTCTTTCTTTTTTTCTTTCTTTATTTCTCCTTCAACCTATTATATTATTCTTTCTTTCTTTCTTTCTTTCTTTCTTTCTTTCTTTCTTTTTTCTTTCTTTCTTTGCTTTCTTTCTTATATTTCTCCTTCAACCTATTATATTATTTCTTTCTTTCTTTTTTCTTTCTTTCTTTTCTTTCTTTTTTTTCTTTTTTCTTTCTTTCTTTCTTTTTTATTCCTTCTTTGCTTTCTTTCTTTCTTTCTTTCTTTCTTTCTGCTATATTTCTCCTTCTTTCAACCTTCAACCTATTATATTATTCTTTTTTCTTTCTTTCTTTTCTTTCTTTTCTTTTATTTTCTTTCTTTCTTTCTTTCTTTCCGTCTTTCTTTTCTTTCTTTCTTTCTTTCTGCTATATTTCTCCTTCAACCTATTATATTCTTTTTCTTTCTTTCTTTCTTTCTTTTTTTCTTTCTTTTTTTTCTTTCTTTCTTTTCTTTCCGTTCTTTCTTTTTCTTTCTTTCTTTCTTTCTGCTTTCTTTCTCCTTCAACCTATTATATTATTCTTTTTTTCTTTTCTTTCTATCTTTCTTTTCTTTCTTTCTTTCTTTTCTTCTTTTCTTTTCTTTCTTTCTTTTTTCTTTCTATATTTCTCCTTCAACCTATTATTATATTATTTCTTTCTTTCTTTTCTTTCTTTCTTTTTTCTTTTCTTTCTTTCTTTCTTTCTTTTCTTTCTTTCTTTTCTTTCTTTCTGCTATATTTCTCCTTCAACCTATTATTATTATTTCTTTTCTTTCTTTCTTTCTTTCTTTCTTTCTTTCTTTCTTTCTTTCTTTCCGTCTTTCTTTCTTTCTTTCTTTCTGCTATATTTCTCCTTCAACCTATTATATTATTCTTTCTTTCTTTCTTTCTTTCTTTCTTTCTTTCTTTCTTTCTTTCTTTCTTTCTTTCTTTCTGCTATATTTCTCCTTCAACCTATTATATTATTCTTTCTTTCTTTCTTTCTTTCTTTTTTTTCTTTTTCTTTTTTTTCTTTCTTTCCGTCTTTCTTTTTTATTTCTTTCTTTCTTTTTTTTCTTTCTTTCTTTCTTTCTCCTTCAACCTATTATATTATTTCTTCTTTCTTTCTTTCTTTCTTTTTTTCTTTCTTTCTTTTCTTTCTTTTTTTCTTTCTTTCTTTCTAATATTTCTCCTTCAACCTATTATATTATTCTTTCTTTCTTTCTTTCTTTCTATCTTTCTTTTCTTTTCTTTCTTTTTCTTTCCGTTCTTTTCTTTCTTTCTTTTCTTTCTTTCTTTCTTTCTTTTCTTTCTTTTTATATTTTCATTCTTTTCTTTCTTTTTCTTTCTTTCTTTCTTTCTTTCTTTCTTTCCGTTCTTTCTTTCTTTTTTCTTTCTTTCTTTCTGCCATATTTCTCCTTCAACCTATTATATTATTCTTTCTTTCTTTCTTTCTTTTCTTTCTTTCCGTCTTTCTTTCTTTTTTCTTTCTTTCTTTCATATTTCTCCTTTCCAACCTTTATATTATTCTTTTTTCTTTTCTTTCTTTTTCTTTCTTTTCTTTCTTTTCTTTTTCTTCTTTCTTTCTTTCTTTTTCTTTCTTTTCTTTCTTTCTTTCTTTCTTTCTATCTTTCTTTCTTTCTTTCTTTTCCTTTCTCCGTTATATTTCTTTTTTTCTTTTTTTTTTTCTTTCTTTCTTTCTTTCTTTCTTTCTTTCTTTCTTTCTTTCCTTTCTTTTTTCTTTTCTTTCTATATTTCTCCTTCAACCTATTATATTATTTTTTTCTTTCTTTCTTTCTTTCTTTTTTCTTTTTTTTTCTTTCTTCATATTTCTCCTTTCAACCTATTATATTATTCTTTTTTTTTCTTTCTTTCTTTCTTTCTTTTCTTTCTTTTCTTTCTTTTCTTTAATTTTTTCTTTCTTTCTTTCTTTCCGTCTTTCTTTTCTTTCTTTCTTTCTTTCTTATTTTTCAACCTATTATATTATTCTTTTTTCTTTCTTTTCTTTCTTTCTTTCTTTCTTTTCTTTCTTTTTTCTTTCTTTTCTTTCTTTCTTTCTGCTATATTTCTCCTTCAACCTATTATATTTTTTTTTCTTTCTCTTTTTTCTTTCTTTTTTCTTTTTTCTTTTTTCTTTCTTTTCTTTTTTCACTATATTTCTCCTTCAACCTATTATATTATTCTTTCTTTTCTTTTCTTTCTTTCTTTCTTTCTTTTTTTCTTTTTTCTTTCTTTCTTTCAATATATTTTCTCCTTCAACCTATTATATTCTTTCTTTTTTCTTTTCTTTCTTCTTTCCGTCTTTCTTTCTTTCTTTCTTTCTTTTCTTTCTTTCTTTCTTTCTTTTCTTTCTTTTTCTTTCTTTCTTTTTTCTTTCTTTCTTTTCTGCTATATTTCTCCTTCAACCTATTATATTATTCTTTCTTTCTTTCTTTCTTTCTTTCTTTTCTTTCTTTCTTTCTTTCTTTCTTTTCTTTCTTTCTTTCTTTTCTTTCTTTCTTTCTTTCTTTCTTTTTTCTTTCTTATTTTCTCCTTTTTGCCACCCTTCATTTTCATTATTCTTTCTTTCTTTCTTTCTTTCTTTCTTTCTTTCTTTCTTTCTTTTCTTTTCTTTTCTTTCCGTCTTTTCTTTCTTTCTTTCTTTCTTTTCTTTTTTTTTCAGCCTTTCTATTTCTTTCCTTTTCAACAACATTTGTCTATTATATTACTTTTTTTTCTTTTCTTTCTTTTCTTTCTTTCTTTTTCTTTCTTTCTTTTCTTTCTTTCTTTCGTCTTTCTTTCTTTTTTCTTTCTTTCTGCTATTTTTCTCCTTCAACCTATTATATTATTCTTTCTTTCTTTCTTTTCTTTCTTTCTTTCTTTCTTTCTTTCTTTCTTTCTTTCTTTTTTTCGTTCTTTCTTTTCTTTCTTTTCTTTCTTTTTCTATATTTCTCTTTTTTCAACCTATTATATTTTCTTTCTTTTTTCTTTCTTTCTTTTTTTCTTTCTTTCTTTCTTTCTTTTTTTTTCCGTCTTTCTTTTCTTTCTTTCTTTTCTTTCTTTCTGCTTTTTTATTTCTCCTTCAACCCTATTATATTATTCTTTTCTTTCTTTCTTTCTTTCTTTTCTTTCTTTTCTTTCTTTCTTTCTTTCTTTTCTTTTTTTTATTTTCTCCTTCAACCTATTATATTATTCTTTCTTTCTTTTTTCTTTTCTTTCTTTTTTCTTTCTTTCTTTCTTTCTTTCTTTCTTTCTTTCTTTCTTTCTTTCTTTTTTTTCTTTTTAACTCCTTTCTGCTATATTTCTCCTTCAACCTTTTATATTATTCTTTCTTTCTTTCTTTCTTTCTTTCTTTCTTTCTTTCTTTTCTTTTTTTAATCTTTCTTTCTTTTCTTTTTTTATATTTCTTTTCTTTTTTCACTTTTTTTTCTTCAACCTATTATTTTATTCTTTCTTTCTTTTTTCTTTCTTTCTTTCTTTCTTTCTTTCTTTCTTTTCTTTCTTTTTCTTTCTTTCTTCTTTCTTTCTCCTTTTCAACCTATTATATTTTCATTTCTTTCTTTCTTTTCTTTCTTTTCTTTCTTTCTTTCTTTCTTTCTTTCTTTTCTTTCTTTCTTTTGTCTTTTTATTTATTTCTTGTTTTCAACCTATTATATTAATCTTTCATTCTTTTTTTTTCTTTCTTTCTTTCTTTCTTTCTTTCTTAGTTTTCTTTTTCTTCTGTTTATTCTGTTGTTCTATTTTTAATTTTTATTTCTTTTTCACATTTTTTTTTTTTTCTTTTCTTTTTATATTTTCTTTCTTTTCTTTTATTTCTTTTTCTTTCTTTTCTTTCATTCTTTCTTTTCCTTCTTTCTTTCTTTTCGTCATTTTTTTAACAATGGTTTTCATGTGTCAATGATTGTTTTGTTCAAAAGTAAAGTTCTAAAGAAATACGAAAAGACTCGTGAAATGTAAAATTTCTTTTCTTTTAAAGGGACCCCGACAAGAGGCAAAGGCGGCTTTAACATTCAATTTCAGCCGACAAGCTTTTTCCATTTTCAAACATCCACTTTTCTTCTTTCTAACGTTCTTTTCCTACCATTCCTGACCATCCATTTCCTTCAATTTAATTTTTCTTTTTCCTTTTAAAAATTTTTCACAAACCTTCCAAGGGCAGCATTGTTGTTTTCCTTTCTTAGTTTCTTTTTTTTTCTTTCTTTCTTTCTGTCGTTTCAAGGCATTTGTTGTTGTTATTTTTTCTTTTAACAATGACGAATGGTCTTTTTTTTCAATTCTTCCATTCTAGTTGATGTCGCTTTTCTTTCTTTCTTTATCTGACGGACTTTCTTTTATTTACTGTATGCTATTTCTTGGCACACGTTGATTTTTCTACGACGATCAGATATGTCTTTCTTTCTTTCTTTCTTTCTTTCTTTCTTAGTTTTCACCATTTTCTTTCCTTTACAATTCAATTTAATCTTTCTTTCTATTTCTACTTTTTAATTATTTATTTCTTTTTCACACATTTTCTTCCATTTGCCATTCTTTTTCAAGTTTTCCTTTCTTTCTTTTTTCTTTCTTTCTTTCTTTCTTTCTTTCCTTCCTTCCTTCCTTCTTTCTTTCTTTCATTCTTTCTTTTAACAATGATTTTCATCGTCTATGTTTGTTTTGTTCATTTTCTTCTAACATTCTAGTTCATCATTCTTTCTTTCTTTCTTTCTTTCTTTCTTTCTTTCTTTCTTAGTTTTGTCTATTTTATTTACTTTAACATTGTATTTCATCCTTCTTTCTTTTACCAATCATTTTCATCATCTTTCTTTCTTTCTTTCTTTCTTTCTTTCTTTCTTAGTTTTCACCATTTTCTTTCCTTTACAATTCAATTTAATCTTTCTTTCTATTTCTACTTTTTAATTATTTATTTCTTTTTCACACATTTTCTTCCATTTGCCATTCTTTTTCAAGTTTTCCTTTCTTTCTTTCTTTTTTTTTTTTTTTTCTTTCTTTCTTTCTTTTATCCACTTTCTTTCCGTTAGCATTCAATTTCATTTTCCTTTTTTTCCCGCTTTTTCTTTCATTCACTATTCGTTTTCATCGTCTTTCATTCTATATTAACTTCTTATTTTTTTTCTTACTTGTATTACTTCTTCTTGCTTTAAATTCCTTTCTCTCATTTTCCATTCTTTTTCATCGTTTTTCCTTTTTCATTTCTTTCTTTCTTTACATTTATCTTCCTTTCTCTTGTCATTATTTTCCTTCTTTCTTGGCATTTATCACTTTCTTTCTTTATTTACCTTGATCTTTCATTTTCTTTAGTTTTCATTTCTCTTATTGTTTCTCTTTCATTGAAGTTCTATAATATAATATAGTATATTATCACACCGACAAAAGGCCAGCCATAAAAACCTGTGTTGCAACATGTGCATATCAAAGTCCCTCCTTCTACACTTCATTCAGAATCCATGTAACAGTTAAGACATTCATTTCTTAACATTTAACATAGAAAACTTGAAACGAGTTGGCCCAAATCCAACACTGGACCCAGTATTTCATCGGATCCACTGTTTTTGTGGGCCGGGAAAAAACAATCTCAAGACCTGTTTCGTATATAAGTCGATCTCATTTTTTCAACCTGATCCAGTCACAAATTAACTTAACGAAGAACCGTATTTTATGACAGATAACGCTCAAAGACCACAACGTAAGCATAAAAATCTTAAGTCGACGACCTATGTATAAGTCGATACCTTTGAGAACTTTCGCTGTAATGAATCCCAAATCTTTAATTTATGATATGCGTGATGCATAATCTATAGGTCTATATATTAATAACTAGCTCAAAAGCGGCCCTAACGGGCGGCATTTAAACTAGCTCCTGCGGAGGGTTCTTGATTAGGTCTTCATCACAATAGTTAGGGAGGAGTAGAGGCAACAATAAACTACAGAAGAACTGAAAATTGAGTGCTGCATTTAAGTATTGCATTAATATTTAAGCTGGCCTTTTAAAAATTCAACGATAATTCTGCTGCTGCCACTTAATTTAGGGACGATTTGATGTACGCAGGTCCTTATTTTCCGTACAAACAATTATTTTTATTTCATGGATGACTTTCACTGGATTTCGCAATTAATTTCGATTCTTCCCAAGTTTATTTCCAATTTATAAAAATTGTTATCGTACAAAAAATTCGTCGCAAAAAGACACGTAAAAAATCGCCGAAAACAATAGCAGTAATGAAAATTTGGGAATTCAAAATTTCAAGAATGCAAGTCCGGATCCAGCCCAGAATGTTTTTAATTTGTTCACAGGGTTGACCTGATTCCAAAATGGTATGATATGTTGGGCTACGGCCTCTAGGACTAAAGTGGAAAAAACGGTAACTTTTATTTTGAAACGCTATAATTTGAGAACATTAGTTTTTTTCATTTGAACATGAGCTAATGAAAGTTAGTGAGTCGTGTCCCTTTAATTGTTTTTATCAGTAGAAGCCAAGATGGCAGAATCCGGAAACAATCACAGTAATCGAAACTTGGATATCCAAAATTTCAGGATTGCGGGTCTGGATCTGGTCAGGAATGTTTTTAATTTGCTCACGGAGTCGGCCTGATTCCAAAATGTTATGATATATTGGGCGACGGCCTCTAGGAGTAAAGTTGAAAAAGTGTGACACAGTGACACACTGACATTTGCATTTATTATATCGAAGTCTTGTTGCTCTAAATCCCAAATTAATGTATATGATTCGTGTATAAATCGATCACGCTTATTGGTCTATATATTTGTCAAGTTTTACTATTCTAAATCCGAAATTAGTAATTTATGATATGCCTCGAGTAGAAGTTGATTCCGTCGATAGGTGTATACATTGCTGTTCTAAAGCCAAAATTTATAATATGATTTCTGTATACGTCGATCACGCTGATAGGTATATATATCGATCAAGTTTTGTTATTCTATATTCCCAAATCATTAATTTATGTTATGCCTCGTGCATAAGTCGATCCTGTATATAATAAAGTTCTGTTCTAAAGCCAAAATTAATAATGGATACGATTCTTACATATATTGATTACATTTAAATGTCTATATAATGATCAGGTTTACTGATCTATATCCAAAAGTATTAATGTATAACATGCTTCGTGTATAAGTCGATCACCTTTATGGGTTTATATATTAGACAAGTATTGCTCTCTGAATCCAAAATCATTAATTTATAATATGTCTCATTGAAAGGTCGAAGTCCTTTTACTTTCATTGGAAATGAATAAGACTAAAACACCACTGAATATTATAACATCTAAACACGTTTAAGGAAATTTTCGCCAACTCACACCATGCACGCCTTGAAAATCGAAGGTAACAGAGCCGGAAAAATGTGAGTGCCAAGCACAAAATTCTTAGCAGTTTATTAATTCGTCATTTAATTTTGAAATGTGCTTCATTTCATACAAAAATATCCGATATAGGAAAATGTCATTAAGAACAAAGAAAAAAGTTATGAACTGCTATGTAATATCTAATCTTTTATATGACAATGAATGATGGACAATCTCCTCATACCTTTCAGAAACTAAGTATTAAGAGATAGAAAAATGTCATTAAGAACAAAGAAAAATGTCATTAAGAACAAAGACAAATGATGGACAATCTCCTCAGGCCCGAGTATTAAGATGAAAATGTCATTAAGAACAAAGAAAAACGTTATGAACTGCTATGTAATATCTAATCTTTTATATGACAATGAATGATGGACAATCTCCTCGGGCCTTTCAGAAACGAAGCAAAGTATTAAGAGATAGGAAAATGTCATTAAGAACAAAGAAAAAGAGTGATGAACTGCTATTTAATATCTAATCTTTTATATGACAATGAATGATGGACAATCTCCTCATGCCTTTCAGAAACTAAGCAAAGTATTAAGAGATAAGAAAATGTCATTAAGAACAAAAAAAAAGAGTGATGAACTGCTATGTAATATCTAATCTTTTATATGACAATGAATGATGGACAATCTCCTCATGCCTTTCAGAAACTAAGCAAAGTATTAAGAGATAGGAAAATGTCATTAAGAACAAAGAAATGAGTGCTGAACTGCTATGTAATATCTAATCTTTTATATGACAGTGAACAGACGAAGAGACTTCTACCGATTGAAACTGAGTATACCTTGATCTGAAAAGATGGTTAACAAGGAAGGTTTTAGGAAAATGCTTATAAATTTCTGGAACAAGATAATAAAGAAAGAGGGCCTGGAGAATTTTACCTGCACATGGTAAATTGAAGCGAGAGAAGCTAGTGGTAACAGCTGATATGCCATTTAATGGCCTTGAGTGTATAGATGACAAAACAAGGGCAAAAAATGCTCTTGTGTTAAAAGTTACATCGAGCAAAAAAAGGCAGGAAGATGTGAAAAGCCATGATCGCTAAACCAATCACTACAAGCAATAATTAATATACTACCCAAAGGAACATAAAGCTGAGTAGCAGCAAAGGATATTAACTATTATATATTGAAAAGATTTATCTATCAGATTATCTTCCAATGGACACTTCTGAACATTTCATTCCAACCATTTTTGTCATCTGTAACAAAGCGACGTTTTTAATTTCTGATTTTCATTCTATTCCTTTTTCTATCTATCTATCTCAGTCATTTCCTTATCTATCTATCTATCTATCTATCTATCTATCTATCTATTCATTATCTATCTCATCTATCTATTCATCTATCTATCTATTCATTATCTATCTATCTCATTCATCTGTTCATATCTATCTATCTATCTCTGATTCTATTCATCTGATTCTGTTCATATCTATCTATCTATCTATCTATCTATCTGATTCTGTTCATATCTATCTATCTATCTATCTATCTATGTGCTTGTTTAAGATTGTTGGATACAAGATCTGGTGTTGTTTTTCTCTTAGTCTTCATTGTATATCTTTGTATATTTTACCTCGTTTTATTTTTTGTGTTGCCATATATGCTTTAATAGGGTAATACGTTTTGCGTGTTTTCTGATGTCAAATTATGATGCGTGTGAATCTTATTCCTAGAAAAGAATAGAAGGCCTCTGGTAACTGAGGAACGATGCTACGAAGTCATTTCCATATTTATTTATATATTCTGCAAAATGTGTGTCTGTGATGGTCATTTCAGGCTATCAGCTCCCACTTCTATGGTAAATCAAATATAGATTTTTCTAAATAATTATATCCCAAGCAAGGCAGTAAAACCACGAAAGGCGCAAGGGGTTACTGAATGTTGAAAGAATATAAGAAAAAGAAAAATATTATTAAAGAGATAAAGTAATAACAGAATAATAATAAAAGATATGAGATAACGATTGGCATTGGATTTAAATTTTTGAAGATTAGAGTTGTTTGGAAAGCATGGGGCCGAAAAGGAGTTCTTCTGCTATATATTTAGAGGGTCTTGATAAAATCCAAAGAAGAATTTGCAATATTATAGATCCTAACCTGGCATCTCGGCTTCAGTCACTTTCTCACCGGTCTAACATAGCTTCCCTCTGCCTTTTCTATAAATAATTTCATGGTAATTGTTCTGATAAATTTTCCTCGATGGTATCTAGACTATCTAGACTTTATGAATTTAAGCGCAGTACTAGATGGGCGGTAAGGTTTAATCATTTTACCGTTGAATGGGCTAGATGTAACCGCAAGTTCTATTCTGACAGTTCCTTCTCGAACTTCTCGCTTGTGGAACTCTCTTTCGGCTTCTTACTTTTCAGTCAATTTTGATCTTCAAAAATGTAAATGCCATGTCAATTTTTATGTTCTGTCTATTTAATTATTTTTTTTTTATGGTTCTTTCTCATTAATAGTGTTTCTTTTTTTCATATTCTCTAACACTTATGAACACCTTGTGTCTTAGAGGCTTTATTACCGTGCTTGGAGTGAAATGATTAAAATAAGAATATGGAGAGACCTTTCAAAAAGTGGGGGATCATGGCGCTCCACAAGTTCTTGACCTTTGTTGCTCCAAGTACTTTTGACATATTAGCAATTGTCTTTGTTCTTGTTCGGCCATCCATTTACACAAACTCGTTAAGCAAATTACTGATTTATCCCCGCTTCTCTGGCCTCCAGTATGTTCTGTGATTAATAGGTTCTCCTAATTCTCTTTCCTCCTTATTTCCTTTCGTTGTCCTAAAACATTGCTATACCTCTATCTGATTGTAAGTATAAATTTCTCTGTGATAAGTGACAAGTGAACTTATGAGAGAGTGTGATGCATTTGTGGCCAATGTAAGAATTTAATGCTTTTTAATGTTGATATTGGAGATGCAATCTCCCACGAGAATCTATAATCAACATTATTATTAAATAGGGGAATTTTTGAGGTCACATGTTATTGCTAATAATATTGTATAATAAATGATAAATTCAAAGTATTTCTTAAGATCGTTAAATGTAGTACCAACGAATTATATTTTAACGACTTTTTGGTCTTGTTCATATTTTAGGCGCAATTTGGTTATGACACTATTTATATTCGACTATTGTCCTCATCTTTTGTTGCCATATTTATTACAATGTTTCGTTTCAGTATCTGTCTATGAGATGAGTATTATGTACACTATTTACATTATTCGGACTATTATCCTCATCTTTTGTTGCCATATTTATCACAACGTTTCGGCCGTTGTACGCTCCGGCCTTCTTTAGGTGGTTGGAATGTCGAACTGAACCCTTTATTTCACTCAGTGGGGTAGACTGTTCTAGTTCCACGTGCCATGTTTAATGGATGTCAGTTATCAGTTATATCCTGTTAATTACCCTCTCTAAGTTTTCCT